TTGATCTAAAACAGTTCCAGGAACTATTCAAGAGGGTAGCGACAAGTCAGAATGTTTCCCTGCAGGAGGTCTAGAAGAAACAGTACCAATTGCTAAAAAATCTCCATCCTACATTACATAGCAAGATTGCCCTGCCTATAGACGAGGCAATAATGGAGAGCTCGGAAGACCTCTGGAAAACACCTGCATCCATTCAACCAACTAATAAGAGAATCGACAGGAAGTACTTTGTCCCATCAAAAGACAACGACTTTCTCTTCACACACCCACAACCTAATTCATTAGTCGTAGACCTGACGAACACAATTTTCACCAGTGGGGATGGCCATTGATTGACCTCTTTGCGTAGAAACCCAGAACACCAAATGTCCCCAATTCTGCTCACGTGCGGGACTTGGCAAACACTCTGGGGGATGCCTTCCTAATCAAATGGACAGCCCCCCTACACTACGCCTTTCCTCCCATACCGCTCATCCCAAGAGTCCTGCGCAAGATCCTGAGAGACAAAGCCCTAGTCATCCTGATTGCGCCATCATGGTCTCGCCAAACCTGGTACCCATACCTTCACAGGCTAGCGCTCCAGCCTCCCTACCCACTACTGTATTGGATGGACCTACTATCTCAGGACGACGGCAGGATATTGCATCCACAACTCAATACCCTGCATCTTCAGGCATGGCTTCTCTCTGGTTCTCGGAGGTAGAAAATCACTGCTCCCAGAGAGTAAAAGACGTCCTCCTCCACAGCAGGAGACAGTCTACTCGGAAAACTTACCAACAGAAATGGACACGTTTCTGTCACTGGTGTCAGCGAGCCAAAGTGGAGTCCCGTGCCTCACCACTAGATACCATCCTAGACTACATTCTGGACCTTAAAGCATCAGGACTGTCAATCTCCTCCCTAAGAGTACACCTCTCTGTAATAGCAGCATTTCATACATCAGTAGATGGCTTTTCCATTTTTAACCATCCTATTACAAAAAGATTCCTCAAGGGACTCCAGAATGTGTACCCACCACATAGGGCCCCACCCCCTTTGTGGGACCTAAATCTTGTTTTGAACTGCCTCACCAGACCTCCCTTTGAGCCACTGGCAACAGTACCACTTCCTTTCCTTTTTATGAAGGTCTGTTTCCTCTTAGCCATCACCTCCGTCAGGAGGGTGAGCGAACTCGGAGCATTAATGTCAGAGCCTCCTTACACAGTTTTCACAAAGGATAGGGTCATACTTAGACCCCACCCCACGTTTTTGCCAAAGGTCTGTACAGAATTCCATCTCAACGAACCAATCGTGTTACCTACCTTTTTCCCAAAACCGCATTCTTCGCAGACAGATGCCAGCCTGCACACTCCGGACATCCGGAGCGCTCTTGCCTTCTTCCTAGAAAGAACAAAACCATTTCGTAAATCTGAAAGACTTTTTATCTCCATTGCTGAACGATCCAAAGGGACACCAGTATCATCTCAACAAATCTCAAAGTGGATATCGACATGCATAATTAAGTGCCACTCTCTGGGCAATAGACCGCTGCTACGCCCACCACGAGCGCATTCTACTCGAGCCACGGCTGCTTCTACAGCCTTTCTGGGCAATGTCCCCTTAAGAGACATTTACCGGGCAGCAACATGGTCTTCAGATCATACCTTTGCTAAACATTACGCTATTCTTCCACAACTTAAGAGTGACTCAGCAGTTGCCACGGCAGTGCTCTCCACCACTGCCAAACATTGACTCTGGCTCCCTCCAGCCATATACTGGATACTACTTTGTAATCACCTACAGTGGAGCACCCACGGGGACACTACTCGAAGAAGAAAAGGGAGTTACTCACC